TCCCAGTCATCTTGCACAGCCTGACTCTGTGCTGTGGGCTGAAGCTTGCAAGGCAGGTTGTGATGCAGCTACCTGTGCAGTTTCTCCGCTGAAGTGATTAAGAGGGAGACTAAACATGTCTCTGGCTACTTTCAAAGATGGAAATTACATTAAGTGAAGAAATAAGAGAGCAGGAAAGGAAGATTAGCTCAGTGTGCTGTGGTGGCGTTGTCAGGCTCCAGTGTTCAAAGCAATAGAACGGTCCAATTGATGTCCAGTTAGTAAGACAAGACCAGTTGCTTTCTCTTTTTTGTGGAAGTCTCTGCTGAACTATCAGGGAGGGCAAAATAGGCTTTGAAACTTGTTAGGGTAGGAGTCACAAAGCTTGAAAATAGCTGACAGGATGCCTATGCTAGCCCCTGAGAAGTAGCACAGATAAACAGCCATGAAGAAAACACAAATCCAGGAAATAAGAAAGAGCTCCTCTCTTCTGTGTGGATTTGAGGAGCTGAGTTCTGTTTCTGTATCAGAGGTGCTCCCAGCTGTCAGTCCTATGTCTTAGGGTTTTGTTTGTTTGTTTGTTTGTTGTTTTCCCTAATATCTCTTTAAAATGAAATGGTGTATCTTGAAAATGTCTGAGGCAGTACCAATGTGAGTCTGTTTGCTGAAAGCATTAGTAGCACTCCTGTCCACTCGCTCACCTCACAGTATTATGTCCAAATCAGTTTTTTGGTGAAGTTTAATGTAAGAGATCATAGCTGTTAAAACCTTAAGCTTATTTTGTCTTCCTCCACAGTGTTCACATCTATGTTTGCCATGCAGGGTGCTGGCCCAGATGCTGCATCACCTTGTCTGGATTAGCAAGGCGCAGAGGGGTGTTCAGCTTCCCCTCCGTGATGCTGATGGACATATGAACATATGGACAGGGCCCTGGGGAAGAGACAGCTTTCTCTCAGTGTCAGGAGCTCTCAGGTATGTCAAAGCTGCCCACGTCATCTTTTTGCTTGCCTCATTGAATCTTTAGCCTATGGCTGCAAGAAGGCGGCAAGCTGTGGGGAGGAGGCATTTTGCCCTCTGCGTGGATAGCTGTAAACTGAAGTGGATCAGGAGAGGCATGAGCTGAGCCCATTGCTGCACGCAAGTGAGCATCCAGGCCGGGCACTGCTGGGTATGTGCCTGCTCCTCCCCACCCCCAGAACAAAAAGCCTTGTATCTTGAAACCAGTGCAGGTGAGATAGCCACAGGGAGCCACAGCTCTGAGCGTGGAGGTCTCTTGGCTTGTCTCCTAAAAGTTGCTCTGGTGAGGAGCTATTCCTCCTCCCATACAATGATCATTCTGGAAGGGGGTGGAAAACAGCAGGATTTTGCATGGTTGAGTGAGAAAACTGACATAAGACAGTTTGTACGAGAGCTAATCTATAATTCATCGTGATCATTCCAGGCTTTTAGAGAGCAGGGCAGGGAGAGGCAGGGAGCCCTGCTGCGCAGCGTAAAGCCCCCACACGTGGATGCGGCTGGCCTGCGCTGTCACTTTGATGAGCACGGGCAGGCAGTGCTGGGCCACTGGGGGTGGCCGGGCCCCGCTGCCTGTGGGTAAGGAGGAGCTGCAAGCTGCAGAGAACTAGAAGAAGCCTTGGTACTGACATCTCATTATTTCCAGCTTTGTTGCTTGCTTTCTGGTCACTGCTTATGTACCAGGCTGAAATTTGTTAGTGTTACTGCCTCAAGGACTGCTGGCAGCTACTTTTCTGGGAAGGGGTGTCTGATAGGGCTGAAGGCTTGCCCGCCACCAGATGATGATGGCTGTTGGGGAGAGGAGAGCTCAGCCCTTGGTAGGCCAGACCCAAGACCCTGCTTTTGATTCCTTCGGTGCCACCTGGCTTGCAGTAGAAGCAGGTCTTGTTGCTGCTTACTTGCCTTGTCTCTGCTGCTCTGGATTGCCAGCACATGCAGCAGGTCTCAGTCAGACAGCCATGACCTTGAAAGCTTCGTTTGGGACCCACGTGCTATAGACTGTGTCAGCCTTGTGGACTGAGTGTTGTGCAGAGCAGGGGAAAGGATGGTGAGGGCAGGAGGTTTTGTTGAGTTAATTTTTTGACTGTACCTGCCCTCCTGGGCTTACATCCAAGGCCTTGAAGTACTTGCACAACTTCCTCCCATCTCCCTTGATTATGTTGTATTCTCCATTCCCTCCTGAGCTAGTTATTAATTATGGAGGCTGGGGAGATGAAGTCCAGACTCTGCTAATAGTTGACTTACCCATATTGTAGAGACGGCATTTCAGCAAGCTGCTAATGGTCCTTTTCAGCTTTAAACCCTTCCACCACTTTGGTCTCTGGCCTATGGGTGGCAGTGAGCTCAAGTCCTGCAGTCCAGCCTCGGATCTTTTGGGCCTGCCGTGCCTCCCTGATAGCTTCCCTCCCAGCCTGCTTCACCAGCAACTGTGCAGCCATCTCTTGACCCCATGCTGCCTGCCTAAACCCTGGTGCCAACCCCTCTTTCCTCTCCTGGCCCTGTTTTTCCTTCACCCAACTCCAGCAGAGCCCAGTGGGAGCACTGCCACCTGGCCTCGAGGTAACCCTGTCTGCCCTTTGCCCTCCCTCCCCAGTGCTCAGTGCTGTCTGTCCAGTCTGGGGAGCCAGCAGCAGGGTTTTCCCCCTGCCCGTGCCCTGAGGAGCAAGGGTACAGGAAGGGGCTGCTCTCATCCCCTCTACCTGGCTCAGCCTTGACCACTGGGGACTGGAGAGGGAAGGCCTTGGGAAAGTGGGAACATTGACGGCCTCTTTCCGTCTTGTTTTTTCTAGTTTTGCCTGTGCATACCCATGGGATTGTCCATGGCACTGGGTGCCAGCGTTGGCCCGGGGCTCCCCAGCAGTGTTTTGCAATGCTGTTGGCGGGGCCTTCCTGTAGGCGTCCAGCTGTCCCAGGGGAGTGCAGCCCCAGCCTGTGTGGTGAAAGGTCAGCGCAGGCAGAGGAGATGCTGGGCCTGGGCAGGCAGCCACTGCTCCCAGCCCTCATCAGCAAGGGGAAGGCCAGTCAGCACAACACCAAAAACATTTTAGCATAGAAGAAACAAAAGAAGGGCTCAGGATGTTAAATGTTTTCACCTTCTTTTTGCAGGGCAGCTCTTGCTGTGTGTAACCAGGCAAAAGCCATGAGCTCCCTCAGCCCGAGGCTGCTCGCTGCTGTGCTGCACCCCAGCATGCTGCGCCTTGTGCTGAAAGAGCCAGGGTACAGTGTGAGCTGGTTCCCACTGCTCTGGGCCAGGCAAGATGTGCTGCTCAGAGCGAAAGCTGTGACCCGCAGTGGCCGTGGGTGGATTAGCATCCAGCACTGAGGCCTTAACCCGAGGCTCATCTCTGCCAGCTGTGCATGGCTGAGTGACACCGTGCCTCTTGCCCATCCCAAGCAGCGAGCCGCATGTGCTCACGTCCTTCAGATGTGCTTGTGAGACTGAGCTTGCTGCTGGCACCATGCTGCAGTAGCCTGAGTGCTGGTGGGGCTCCTTGGGGGGCCACCCACAGTTATCAGGCCGGGATTGATGGAGGAGAAACTCAGAGCTTGGGCTGATGGGATGGTTTTTGAAAATTCTCAGCGTGTTAAATAATAATAATCTGGCCCATCGTCTCTAGGTTACATTTGCCTCATCTGCAGCTGAGCTCATGGAAAATAGCAGCTTAGCTCCTGCACTCAGTGCCAAGATGGGGAGTTTAGAAACAAACCGATAACATCTTTATAAACTTGGAGCGTTTCTTACTGCTTGCTGCTCCCTCTTCCTGCCTGCTGGAGCGCTCCTAGAGGCTGAAGGGAGCCAGGCGGCCACCATCTACCCTGCAGGCCCTGCTGCAGTACTTGGCTGGTTGGGGGGCTGCCTTTCCCTCGAATGTTTGCTGGGGTCCTTGGCTCTGTCCCCAGTTAGAATCACAGTACGCCACACTCCACGCTTAATTTACAATAATCACTGGCTTTATTTTTAAAAAATTACAATAGAAAAGTACCTTTTAACATATTTCCAAAAGCGGAGAAGACAATATGGAAGCTCCTTTCCTCTCCACAAAAACAGAACAAAACACAGGAAACAGTTTGCTACAATAGTCCATTGCTGGGAGCGCTGTGCTGTCCCTGCAGAGCTACCTTGCTCGAGGCACCGCTGCCCAACCCGCTGCATGCTGGTGGCCCTGTGGCACCCCCTTCTTGCCCCCACCTGGGCAGCTCTGGCAGCCCTGTTCCCTGCTGCTTGTGGCCAAAGCAAAAAATGGAGGAGGGAGAGAGGCTGAGAGTTCTGCTCAGGCAATTAATGGAGATGGGGTTGGCACCTCCTTTTTGAAGAAACAAATGGGTTGATTTTTTTTTTTGCTTTGCTTTGCTTTACTCTTCCTCATGCCACTTTCTCCTGCTGCAAAGAGGACGCCAGCCTGCAGTCCCTGTGCTGGATCCATCCCACCCTGTGCTACCAGCGGCCTCCCTTGGGCTCTGCTCCACACAGACATGCTCTGCAGCCAGACTGGCATCACCGGGTGCTGAAGCTGCAGTAGAGCCCTGCAGCAGTGGGTGCGTATCCCAGTCCCACGGCCTGGAGTTGGCGGGGATCAGAAAGTCCTTGCGCGTCAGTCTGCATTGCCCTTAACATCTTGGAGCAGCCATGGAAGGAGAAGGCGAATTTTCACCTTGCTACATGTGTGGACTGTCTCTGCCCATCCCTGATGCGAGTATCACACCTTGCCGGAGCTGTGCAGCAAGCCGTTAGCATCGTGCCAAGGTAAGAAATCTGCGTGTCATGGCTGGCGCCACGTGCTGCAGACAGGAAGGGAACCCCAGTGCTGGCAGTGCATTGTGGTGCAGAGGCGATGCTGTCACCGGAGCACTGTGAACACCACAGACTGTGCTGAGGCAGCATGTGTTGTGGCCCGTGGATGGGGGGGCAGGCTGCTAAGGGCGTGCTGTTGGAGGTTGAGCACAAAAACTGTCATCCAGCCCAGTGTGAGATTGTCCTGTTCAGAAGTTTGGTACAAAAATACTTGCTCTCGCTTTGCTTTTTTTTTTTTTTTTTTGCAGTCTGCTTTCCTAGGGGTGTTTGAAAATACTTTTCAAACGCTACAGCAGTGCCTGTCAAACCATGCTTTCATCAGTAACACGCTCTTTCTTACAAATATACAGTGTAAAAGAGGGAAATATACTGGGTATGCTTCTCACTTTCTTCTAGGAGAACAGATGTGTGATAGAGGCTGTGGGAAAGTCTTGGAGGAATCCAGACTTGTGTGAGGTTTCTTCCTAGCCTGCAACAAGAGGAGCACAGGTTACAAACGCAGCTGGGCTGGGGAGGTAACGCTGCCTGGGGGAGCAACAGCCAGCGTGTCCCTGTGCAGGCATATCTTATGGGCATGGGGTGGGCATGGCACTGGGACATGGCTGCTCAGGAGGGCAGAGTTAAGTTGTGTTTTGTGTTTAAGAGGAGTGTGACCAGTGTTGCTGTGGGGCAGGAAGCTGTATGGCAGAGAGGGGGTGGGGTGACAGGGCAGTTGGAACTCTCACCCCCACTGTGGATGATAAGCATGGGGACAGCCTGTGCCCGAGCACTGCGCTCCTTACCAGCACACTGTGGTTCTGTGGAGAGCGTGCGTGCCCAGCAGCCGCCGGGGGGCTCTGTTCATACCCACAAGACTGACCGTCGGCCGCCATCACACACCTGAGACCTGTGGGTGGCACGGCAGGGCTCAGGGATGGGGCTGGCATGTCCCCCTTCCTGCCCAAGTTTTGGCTGGCACCACAGGTGTGCTCCAGAGAGGAGAGCCTAGGGACACCGAGTAGCTCTGCAGGCACTTACACAGCATTCAGCAGAACTGACGGGACTTCCAGCCCTGAGACCCAGCCTCGGAGGGAGGGAGCCAGCGCATCTGCAAGACATGGGGGCAGGGGGTGAGCAGGAAGAAAAACTGCAGCCAACGGGAGTGTGGCTGTACCCTGTGGCTGCGGTGCTGATTCCTCCAGGAGCACAGGTGCTGCCTGTCAGCGCCGCCTTGACAGGGGAAATATGAGGCTGCAATAATATTTACCATTGCTCTTCCTCTGGGCAGCTGGCCCCAAAGATCCCCTCCTCTCCCTCCCTTTAGCTCTGCCTGTGCCAAAGGCTGCAGTGCTGTGGGCCAGCAGCATTACCTGGGCATGCAGCGAAGCAGGGTATGTGAACGCAGGAGGAGGTAGAGCAGGCGCCAGCTCCGCTGGGTACAGAGGGTACGGCCCCCACACTTCAGGGCTGCTGGGGTAAAGTGCAGGCACTGTGAGATCATCTGCAGGAAAAGGAGGAGAATTAATCCTAAAAGCAAGGGGGAGGTGGACAGCAGGTATAAGCTCTGCCCAACTGGCACTTCCGCCCAGGCCACCATCACTTGCCCATGCATCATCCCAAGCACAAGCAGATGGATTCCAAACCCAACCACAGCTGCTGTGCCTCTCCAAAAGCTCCCCTGCACCCAGCTCCTAAGGTATCACTGCCCCAACTGCTTGAGTAAGAAGGGGGCACCATCAGGGCCACGTACTGACAGGACCAGGGTCAGGATGCAAACACTCACAGGGCTCCCTGGCGATGAACTGAGGTACGGTGTTGGGGAGGGGTGCGCTGGGGTTGGGAGTGCCCACCAGCTTGCTCTTGGCCATCTTGGTGTTGGCCTTGGCAAATTCCAGCCGCAGCGTCTGGGGGATCTCAGGGTCAAAGCGGATGCCCTGTGGGAAGGAACAGGGCAGCAGCGGTCAGTTAGCCTGAATCTCGTGGTGGGATGCTGCTGGCATCAGGGCTGTCCCCCCATTCAAAAAAGCCATTTGGACTAAAACAGCCTCGGATTTTGTCCCAGTATCCCCATGGGCTGCTGGGGTGGCCGTGACCTCATGCGCTTGGCAGCGAGCATGGCCCCGCGGCTCACATTCCTCTGACATCCTCGAGCTCAGCACCATATTTGGTAGTCGGCATCCCGTGCGGCCACACTCCCAGCCAGGGATTAGCAGCATTTTGCCTCAGTGTGAGGATGGGGAGGGACCGGGCTTCCCCGGGAGGTCTCCACAGGGTAATAGATACTGGGATCCATCTCTTTTGGTGTCCCCCGGGGGGTCCCGGCACTCACGTTCAGTGCATTCTTGGCAGCCTCAGCCTCTGAGCGGCTGTCAAAGCTCACGAACCCCACGGGCTGCGGAGAGAGGAGGTGAGGGGCAGTCAGGGCCAAGTCCCCAGCACATCCCCGGTTGCTGAGGACAGACCCAGGCGGGTGGGGGCACGGCGCAGCCCCTACCTGCTTGGAGGTGAGCTTGATAAGCGACCCCTCGTAGCCCTGCGGGAGAAGAGAGAAGCACCATTGGTCTCATGTGGCCGCAGAGACCCTCAGAGCCCCGTAGCGATGCGGTACCTTGAAGGGCCTGAAGAGCAGGTAGAGCTCGCGGGGCTTGATGTCCAGGGGAAGGCCGCTGACAAACAGGGTTCTCACCTGCATGAGGGGCAGAGCGTCAGCTGGTCGCGGGCCTCCAGGAGGCTGCCCAGGGCCTCCGGGCCATGCTCCTGCACACAGCTCTGTGCTCACGGCCTCAAGGAAGTGCCCGCTGTGAGCTGCGTTCCTGAAAGCTAAACCCGCCCGAGCCTGACTTTCCGGGTAATTTAGCCCCATGGCTGCACAGCAGATAGGAGAGATAAAGGCCCTGAAAAAAAACCCTCCGAAATTAGGCCTCACAGAGATGCGGCTTCTCCTCGGTAATGACTTGTTTTCTCTGAAAGTTCAAACGCAGGTCGGCCAAGTCGGGCCAGTGCTGCGGTGCTCAGTGAGCAGGGAGAGAAGCGCAGATTACAGCAGGATCCTGGGGGGAGGGAAATCCCGTTTTGGCTTTCCCCCCTGCCCAAAAAGAGAGGACAGGCAGAGGCCGGGGAAGGAGTCGGGATGCGCCCCCCCCCTCCCCCCCCCCGGCAGGGCGCCGTGGGGAAAGGCTGCCCTACTCTGCCACGGAGTGGGGCTGCTTCCTGCCTGAGGCTGTGGCCCTGGAGCCTTCCCAAGGCCTCGCAGATGCCCTGAGTGCAGAGTGCAGGCCGGGGTGGGCGGCGGCAGAATCCCCTCTGCAGGGGCTGGGGACGGCTCCCACAGGGAATCCTCCACGCCAGTGCACGGACGCCCTCCACAGCAGCCCCACCACCCTGATCCGCTCAGGCTTTCTCCCCGGCTCGCCTTCGCCCCTCACCACAGTTCGTCGTGTCCCGGGGCTGTCACCCGGTGAGGGCGATGGAAGCGCTGCGGGGCAGCCCCGTGTCCCCGTCCGCCCCACCCCACATCCTCTGTTCCCGCTGCTGCCCGCGGCAGACCGGGGCACAGCCTCGCGCCTGTTTCGTCCCCTCCGTGCTGTCACCGCCCCGCAGGTTTTCTCCTCTCCCTGGGAAGGGGACGGCGCGGGGGACCTGGCGGGCCTCGCTCCGGCCGATAGCGGCCCGGGGGGCGTTTTGTCCCAGCAGCGGCGGCCGCGGGCGGTGCGTGGGGCACCGGGGCAGCGCCGTCGCCCCTCGGCTGCCCCAAGGACGCGGTCACACTCCGCCGCCCCTGCGCCGAGCTCCGCCGGTCAACTCGGGCAGGAAGGGGACCGGCGGGAGGAGCGCGGTGACTCATTCACCAGGCATCCGATCACCTTCCCCAGCCCCGGCTCGCTTTAATGTTCCACCAGCGGTGAGCCGCTCGGCTGCCCCCGCCCCGACCCCCGCCCGCGACCCGTCCGTGCGCCCGGGCAGTCAGGGAGAGGGCGCGGCGGCGGGCACCGACCTCGTGGTGCGCCCGGAGCGGTCCCGCCAGGAGCCGAACGGGGCCGCCGTCCCGGCTCCCGTCCCCGGCGAGGCTGCGTGCGCGGCCGCCGTGCCACCAACGGGGCTCCGCGCCGCCACCTCCGTTCCCGGGGGACGCGGCGCCGTGCCCGCGTGCCCGCACCCCGCGCGTGTCCGAGCGGCGTCCCAGACCCCTTCCGCCGAGGCGCACCCGGCTCCGGGCCGCTCCGGCCCCCCCATCAACTTGCGTCGCTTCCCGCCGCGCCCCGAGCCCCACGCCCAGGCTCACGGGACCCCGCGGACACGCGTGGGGGCCGCCCCGCTCCCGCCCCGGGACCCGGCCCACCCTCGGCGGGCGCCCCCCCGGCCCGCTACCTCCTCTTCGGGCAGGCCCGGCTCGGCGGGGCCCTCCCTCTCGGCGGCGCCGCTGCTCATGGTGCCGCCGCCGCCGCACCGCCACCCGCCCGCGGCTGCCTCCGGCGCGGCCCTGCGGCGGGCGGGAGGGAGCGGGGCCGGGCGGGGCGGGGCCGGGCGGGCGGCCACACGGCGCTGGGGGTGGGACGCGGTGACACGGGGTGGGACGGGAGGTGGGGGCTGGACGCGGAGCTGGGGGCATGGGACGCGGGGCTGGGATGGAGGACAAAGGGCTGCGGTCTGGGACGTGAAGTTCGAAACCGTGGCACGTACGGCTGGGGACGCGGACGTTGGGGTTGGGACGTGGGACGCGAGGTTGGGTACGTAGCACGTGGGGCTGGGGACAGCGACGGGAGCTGTTGAGCACACGACGCGCAGGCTGTGGGACGCGGAGCACAGGGCCGGGGGGACGGGACGTGGAACAGGAGGTCTGACGAGGCTGGGGACGGCCAGGAACGCGTGATAACGGCTGGCGGTGGGGAAGCGAGTGGGGCGCTGAGGCGGCCCTCTCCACGCAGCGTGGCCAGCCCTGCTCTGGGGAGGCAGAAGCCCTTGGTGCGGTGCTCGCAGCCCCCTTTGGACTCAGCCTTAGGGGTGTCTGCACATCCTGATCGGGACGGCGAGGGTCAGTTCCCCGCCAAGAGCTGCAACGTACCATCTTCCCCTGCACACACACAGCGTGAGCCGCGCAGGCCGCCCGGCACCCAGGTAGCAGCAAGGCTCACCTGCCCGCACCCCGCTGCATTATTGATACCTCGGAGCAGCCTCTCGCTCCAGCTCGGCACATGCCGAGGCCCGGCCTCCCTCTGCTGGCTGCCGCGGGATCCGTCGCCACACCACGAGACTCAGGATGGTTTCTGGCCCACAGATGTGGTACAGCAGCACCACGAGGTTAAAAGTGGTGCTCAGCGCTCCTGGCAGCAGTTTGCAGCCCCCACCATCACCCAGCCCTGTGCTTGGAGGAAAGAATGGCAGCCACACCCTGCAGCAAGAGCAGAACAACTTTATTCCCATAAAGCATGTGGAACGTTAGAGTTGGTGCGAGGGAGATAACAGGTCCAAAGCCTGTGGGGGCTATAAATAAAAGACACAAGCAAGAATTGAACGATGCAGAGCCCAGCTGCTTCCCGGGCTGTGCAGTGCCAAAGGACAAGAGACGCCAGGCATACAACTGACAGCAGAGGGCTTTCAGCTCTTCACAGGTGTGGATGCAGCTTTCGTCGTCTTCTTCAGGTGATGGTAATTGGGCAGGATTTTCATCAGGAAGTCTAACTGCAGTGTCTGAGGCTGGAAAAAGAAGCACTGTCAGCAATGGGCAGCCACGAGGGGAGCTTGGGGACAGGGGGATGGCACCTACCTGCGGCCGCTCGGTCTGCACGCGGCGAAGGCAATCCGCACCATAGATGACTGTGTTCTCAGGGATCACCTCATAGGTATTGACGTTGCAGCAGGCCCCAATGATGCAGCCGCTCGTTAGGATCACATTCCTGCCAACAAATGCTGTAAGGAGAGCCTCTGTGAGGCCACCCTGCTTGAAGCCACGCACTGCTGCTCTAACAGCAAAAACTCCAAGCAGAACAAAGGGAACTTGAGCTCACCTTTGGATTCAATTACATTGTTATCTCCCACTTTCATTGCCTGTGAATCTACAGGTTATTGTCAAAGGAAAACCTTTTGCTTTTGGTTCAAAAGGTGTGCCCCGATGCCACTTGCAAACCAAAATCTACCCCATAAGCACCCCCAGGCTGCCTGTGTCTGGGCAACATCCACGCGTTTCCCTGCAGCACAAGGATACAGCACCCAACTTCAAAGACATTGTTGGTGCCGATGATCATGGGCTTGGGCTCCACCTCCTCAGTTTCTGGCGTGATGTTTTCCGGGTACCTGCGAGACACGTGAATGTACTTTAGGTGTCAGCAGCAGCTGCCTTCAGAGCAGGGCAGGAAGAAGGCAGCCCCACACACACCCGTTGATGATGAGCGCCTGCTCCTCTATCAGGTTGCCTTCCCCGATCACAATGGGCCCTGCCTCCGCGATGATCCTGGCCTTCGGGTGTATCACCGTCCTCGGCCCTGTGGAAACCGCCCCGAGTCACCAGAGCCACCACCACGTACCCCTGTGGGTGACGAGGGCCGCCAGCTGCCATCCTTACCGATGGTGACATCCCCACGGATCTCGCTCTCCACGCACACCACGGCTCCCGGTGCGATCTTCACGCTGCGGAGGGAGCGCACAGGTGAGCGGTGCTGGGGGCACGCGGGGCGGGGACACAACGCGGGGCACGGATCGGGGTCTGCGAGGAGAGCCTTTGGGGTGCAGGGGCTACGGGGGGGGGACGAGCACCGCTGTACGCGAGGGGCTGACCACGGGGACACACGGGACCGTTGTGGCACATCAGCAAGCCAGTATGGAGGCGCACGGCAGAGCTGGGGCACGCCGAGGGGACAGCATGCGGACAGGCGGGACCGCCAGGGCACACACGGGGAGCTGCCCGGGGACGGAGAGGGCCGCTGGGGCACACAGGAGGACCGCGGACGGCGGCGCTGCGGCGCGCGGGGAGGCGAGCGCTGGGGCCGTTGGGGCGCGATGCGGACCGCGGAGGAGCGGCTGCAAGGGAGTGCGCGGCGGCAGCGGCAGCAACCCCAGCCCGGCCTCACCTCTTCTGCGCCTTCTCCGCCATGGCGCCTCCGTCTGCGCAGACGCCGGGCCGCGCTGGGCGGGGCCGCTCCGCTCCTCCCAGCTGTAGGGCAGCCCCGCCGCCCGACGGGGCGGGGTTCTCTTTTGCGGCTCTCGCGTGCTCTGACCCCGGGACCGGTGGCCGTGGGGCGGCGCGAGCTGGCCGGGCCAGGCGTGTCTCTCCGCGGCCCGGCAGCCGGCGTGCCTGTCTCCGAGCTCCGCACGAGAGACGGGAGGAGCCCGGAGCCGCGGATCCCACGAGGAAGGTAGGAGCGGAAAGTTTTGTCCGCCGATCGCCCGCTTCTGCTTTCGGTTTCCCCGTCGGTCCGGGCGCTCGGAGGACCCGGCTCCTCGCCCGAGCTTCCCTGCGGGGCCTCTCGCCCCGGGGCCGGGCATCGCGAGAAGCGCCGCTGTGCGGTGTTGGCTGCTGGGGTGGAGAATGCAGCTGGGTGAGCAGTTTGGGGGTCGGCAGCACGGGTGAATTCGTGCCTTGCCGGGGGCTGAAACCTAGGCTCAGTGCCCTGTTTGGGGTTCGGTGGGGAGATGAGACCGTTCGTCTTGAGGGGGCAGGGAATGAGGCTCTTTGGGCCGGTTTTCAGGTTGGAGTAATCGAGACTGAAGGCCCGTGGTTTGGGGATCGAACCCAGGCTCATTTGATGGGGCTGTGGGGCTCAGAGCTGTGCGTTCCCAGGTTTGGGAAGCAGAACGACTGCTGTATTTCTAGGGCTTGATGTAGAGGCTTGAAAACAGACCAAATGATGCATTTGAGACTCAGAATGAGGCTGGATGTGTGGTTTTGGCACTTCAGGCTCATTGGGTGGTGCAAAGCAGAGATGAAATTTAGCATTTTGGGGGGCTCAAAACCAGGCTCACTTGACCACTACTGGAGCTCGAACTGTAAGGCTGCCACACATTTTTCAGTCTTTATAACAAACTCTTTGTGCTCCTTGAAAAGGGAGATGATCCCTGTGTGTTTAAGCTCAGACACGGAGGCCGGGCTGGCTGCTTCTGGGGCCAAAGCCCGGCTCTGGCTGTGTGCGAGGAGCAGTGGGGAGGGGGGCACAGACCTGGTCATATTTGTCCCCATAATGCAGTACCTTGGTGTGCACCAGGCTGAAGCCATGTTTGATTTTAGAGTCTCTGCATGAAATGTTTTGTTTTTCAGGAGCTCTTTTCCTAGTGCGTATACAGTGTTTTCAGTACTGTAGTTTAGTCATCATCTGCAAATGAATAAATTAGTATACTAATGTAGAACGTGAATATTAAAGTTGTGATACTGATTGATTCATGACACAGCTGAAGTGCATCTACACCTATGCACTCAGCATGGGCAGCAAACAGGAAGAGCTGGAAGCCATTGTGTGACAGGCAAACTATGACTTAGTTGCCACTGAAGAAATATGGTGGGATGTGCTTCACTGAAGTGATGCAATGGATGTCTGCAAGCTCTTCAGGAAGGATAGGCAGGGAAGGAGGGCTGGTGGTGAGGCTTTCTATGTTAGAGAGTATTTTGATGTTTTTGAGCTTGTGCTCAATAAGGGATGATAAGGTTGAATCTGTATGGGTAAGGAACAAGGGAAGGGCCAACAAGGCAGACATCCTGGTGATGGTCTGTTATAGACCACTTAACTGGAATGAAGAGACAGATGAGATGTTCTATGAGCAGCTGGCAGTTGTGTGATTGCCAGCCCTTGTCTTCGTGGGGGACTTCAACTTTCCTGATAAATGCTGGGAATACAACGCAGCACAGAAGAAGCGGTTTAGGAAGTTGCTAGGGTGTATGGAATATAACTTCCTTCTGCAGCTGGTGATAGAGCCTACTGGGGAGGTGCCCTGCCATTGAGTAACAGAGAAGGTCTAGTGGGAGATGTGGAGGTTGGGAACTGTCTTGGACAGTGCGACCATGAAATAGTAGGGTTCTTTATTCTTGGCAGAGCTAGGAGAGGGGACAGCAAAACTGCTAATGAGGGCAAACTCTGAATTCAGCAGACTAGTAGGGAGGGTCCCTTGGGATTCATTCTTGGAGGGTAAAGGGCTCCAGGAAGGCTGGTCGCTCCTGAAGAAGGAAGTCTTAAAGGCACAGGAACAGGCCATCCCCCTGAGTTGCAAGATGAGCTGGCGGGGAAGAAGACCAGCATGGATGAATAAGGAGCTTCTTCTGAGGCTCCAGGAGAAAAAGAGAATCTACCTCCTGTGGAAGAATGGGCAACTTGAAGAGAATATGAAGAAGTTGCTTGTTAGGATGCGCAGGGAGAAAATTAGGCAAAAGCCCAGCTTGAACTCAACTGGGCCACTGGGGTAAAAAGAAACAAGAAACTCTTTTACAAATATATTAACAGTAAGAAGAGGACCAAGGAAAAATCTCCATTCTTTACTGGATGTGGCTGGGAATGTGACCACTGAGGGTGAGGAAAAGGCAGAGGTTCTCAATGCCTTCTTTGCTTTCATCTTTAAAAGTCAGACTAGTTATCATCGGGGTACTCTACTCTCTGATTTGGAAGTTGCGGATGGAGAGCAGAATAAACCCCTGGTGATTCAGGAGGAAACAGTCAGAGACCTATTATTCCACCTGGACTGCTACAAGTCCATGGGGCCAGATGAGATCCGTCTGAGAGTGCTGAAGGAACTGGTGGAGCCAAGCCACCTTCCATCATCTATCAGCATTCCTGGTCAAGTGGAGAGGTCCCAGAAGACTGGAAACTCATCAGTGTGACTCCCATTTATAAGAAGGGTCATAAGGAGGATCTGGGGAACTACAGGCCTGTCAGCCTGAGCTCAGTGCTAGGGAAGGCTATGGAGCAGATTATCTTGAGGGAGTTGACAGGGGCATATGTGGGACAGCCGAGCGATTAGGCCCAGCCAGCATGGGTTCATGAAGGGCAGGTCCTGCTTGACCAACCTGATCTCCTTCGATGATCCCACCTGGTGGGTGAGGGAAAGGCTGTTGTTGTGGTCTGCCTTGACTTCAGCAAAGCCTTTGACACCGTCTCCCACCGTATTCTCCTGGAGAAGCTGGCAGCCCATGGCTTGGATGGGTACACTATTTGCTGGGTAAGGAACTGGCTGGAGGACCGGGCCCAGAAAGCGGTAGTGAATGGAGTTAAATCCAGCTGGCCACTGATTATGAGTGGTGTTACCCAGGAGTCAGTTCTGGGGCCTAACCTGTTCAGTATCTTTATTGATGACCTGAATAAGGGCATTGAGTGCACCCCCAGTAAGTTTGCAGATGACACCAAGTTGGCAAGAGATGCTGATCTGCCTGGAGGTAGCACGGCGGAGATCTGGACAGGCTGGATAGTTGGGGTGAAGCCAATGGGAGGAGGTTCAACAAGACCAAGTGCCTGGTCCTGCATTTTGGCCACAGAAATCCCATGCGATACTACAGGCTTGGGGCAGAGTGGCTGGGGCACTGTAGAAGAAACAGCCCTGGGGGTTGTTGGTTGATGGTTGGCTAACGTGAAGTAGCAGTGTGCCCAGGTGGCCAAGAAGGCTAGTGGCATTCTGGGTTGCATCAAAAATAGCGTTGCCAGCAGGAGCAGGGAACTAATTGGACCTCTGTACTCAGCACTGGTGAGGCTGCATCTTGAGTACCGGGTTCAGTTTTAGGCCCCTCACTGCAAGAAAGACATCGAAGCTCTGGAGTGTGTACAGAGGAGAGCAACAAAGGTGGTGAGGGGTCTGCAGCACAGGCCTTATGAGGAACAGCTGAGGGAGCTCGGATTGTTCAGTCTGGAGAAGAGGAGGCTCAGAGACATTATTGCTCTCTATAACTACCAAAAGGGAGGTTGTAGTGAGCTGGGAGTTGGTCTCCCTCTCATGTACTGTGAAAAGAGCATAATGTGCTCTTTAACATCTTTATCAATGACATTGATGATGGAATCAAGTGCACCCTCAGCAAGTTTGCTGATGACACTAAGCTGAGTGGTGCGGTTGACACAATGGAAGGAAAGGATGCCATTCAGAGGGACCTCAGCAGACGTGAAAGGTGGACCCGGGTGAATCGAATGAGGTTCAACACAGCAAAGTGCAAGGTTTTGCACTTGAGCCAGAGGAATCCCAGGCATCCATACAGACTGGAAGGAGCAGTCATTGAGAGCCACCCTGCAGAGAAGGACCTGAGGGTCCTGGTGGATGAAAAGCTTAACATGAGCAGAGTGTTCTTGCAGCTAGGAAAGCAGATGGTATCCTGGGCTCCATCAGAAGAGGGGTGGCCAGCAGGGACAGAGAGGTTTGTTTAGGCTGGAGAAAAGAAGGTGTGGGGTGACCTCATTGCAGCCTTTCAGTACCTAAAGGGAGCCTAGGAGCAGGAGGGGACTCAACTCTTTGAAAGAGTAGATAACAGCAGGACAAGGGGAAATGGTTTTAAGTTGAGGGAGGGAAGATTGAGGTTGGATGTCAGGGGGAAGTTCTTTACAGAGGGAGTGGTGAGGTGCTGGAACAGGCTGCCTGGAGAGACTGTGGATGGCCGGTCCCTGGAAGTGTTCAAGGCCAGATTAGATGGAGCCCTTGGCAGCCTGGTCTAGCATTAAATGGGGAGGTTGGTGGCCCTGCATGTGGCAGGGGGGTTGGAGATTCACGATCCTTGAGGTCCCTTCCAACCCTGGCCATTCTGGGATTCTGTGAACTATCTCCAAGAGTAACGTAATTATACAAAAGTAACGACACGT